ATTAATAGGAGTAGGAGATTTCCTATTTTCTTCCTCAACTTTATCTTTTCCTTTGCTTTTTATGGCAACTGTAGGAGTGTTGATGAGATTCATCTTCTCTATTTTAGTCATGCCGAATGTAGACATAATTTGAAGAAGGAATTCTCCCATAACTATCGCTTTAAGCTACTCAGAATTTAAACGGGGTTTGTCTTTTTTAATTAGTTCTTTAAGAACTTCAACATGATTGAGATTAGATCCAGTATTTATACTGGTAGAGGGAACTATTGATGTAGAAGATGAAGCTTTATTAGTTGAAGATTTATCTTCTTCTTTATCTATGTCTTTAAGACATTCTTCAATAATCTGACATTTATGGCAACTACAGGAGTGTTGACGAGATTCATCTTTTCAGATTTGCTCATGCCAAAAGTAGACATGATTTGAAAATCGAATTCCTCCAGAACTGCTGTTTTAAGCTACTCAGAATTTAAATGGGGTTTTTCTTTTTTAATTAGTTCTTTAAGAACTTTAACAGGGTTTAAATTAGTTCCAGTGTTTATACTGGGAAAGGGAACCATTGATGTAGAAGATGAAATTTTATCAATTGAAGATTTATCTTCTTCTTTATTTATGTCTTTAAGACATTCCGTTAGGATTTTACTTTTAAACTCAAGCGGGTAATTTTTCCCAAATTGGACTAAACATTCCTTGATTTGTCTAGGGTCATTAATATCATAAGGATATATCCCTTTAATGAAGTTATGAAATCCATATATGGAGACAAAGTCAAAGATTTTGGAATAATAGAGAGATATTTATCTCCTGACAACTTTTCTTTGTTGTCAACTTTATTTGACAAATAAGCAACAACTTTAAGTTGTATTGACGGGTTATCATCCATATCACATTTATGTGATGATGTCTTTATAGAGAGTAAAGGATAATAAGCATTTTTATATGCATTAAAATAATGAGTATCCTTATACGGATTAAAATAATATGCACGTCAATATGCATGAAAAGCATTTTTATATTCATCGGAATAATATGCATATTTATATGGAAAAACTTGGGTTCTAACAGTTATACCATCAAGTTTATTTATCATTTCTTGACAAAATTCTTCTGAGACTATAGTCTCCAGCCATTGTTTATAGTGTCAATCATAATGTCAGTCGTTAATATCAAGAATAAGATGAAACTTTAAACTTGTTTTTAAAGACTCTCTTTGTCGTCGTGCAATTCTTAACAAAAAGATAGGTACATGATCAATTAATTGATTTTTCATGGCATCGCAATAGAGACACCAAAGTGAAACCTTGCAATTATTAGTATTCCAGGTAAAGACAAAGCTAAAAACATCTTCACCTGCATAATTACAAAAATAGTCAAAAAGTTCTGGGGATTTGGCAATAAGATCTGAATTGAAACCAACACGATTAAAAATACAATTGAAGTCCCAAAAATCATATATATATATATATATATATGTGTGTGTGTGTGTGTGTGTGACGTCTCATGCCACCAACCTCGCTTCCACATCATCTTACCAAAAGGAATAAAGTCCTTTACTATGATGATTGATCAAACTCTGAATTTTTCCAAAAAAAAAAAAAAAAAGAATCGGTCAAAATTTTTTGTTAGATATTATGTATTGTTCGTTGTTGGAATGTAAAAAAAAAAAGAACTTCTTTTTTTTTTAATGGGTGTAACTGTTTTTTAAAGGGTGTAACTACTTTGTTAATGGGTGTAACTAATTTTTTAATGGGTGTAACTATTTTTTAATGAGTGTAATTTTTTTTTAATAGGTGTAACTATTTTTTTAATGGGTGTAACAATCACAGTCTCATGTAATTGTTAAGGCATGATGGTGTAATGATGTCACGATACTAAATAGTGCAACTATTTAATTTATGTAAACAATTGAATAACAAATTAGGTTGGTGTCATAATTTTATGTAATTGTTTTATATAACTGTTTGATTTATTAGAACGCATGAATAACTGTTTGTTGTATTATAGGATAATTGTAATTGATTAGTGTAATTGTGTTGTTATAATATTAATATAAATAGTGTAAGAGAAAATATGAAGAAAGAGAAACTGTTAGAGAAAATATGTCCCTATTTTGCCTCCTATTACTTGGTTGTAGCCAATAAAAACGAAAGGAATACAATAGGGTTGCCATCCATCTGCTGTTTACTGATAGCAATAGTGGCATATTTTAAAAATATGCATTTTATCCCAAATAAGTTTTTGACTTGTACTTTTACTCAAATAAGTTTAAAAAATTTTACCGGCTTCTAAATTCCCCAATTAAAAACAAGTGTAGTCTAGTCGTCTTTTTTGTCAATAAGTACAAGTATTTACTTTTTAAGGATTTAGGTAAATGCGTGTACAACACATGAAGGATGTTTTCCCAAGTCGTCAGTTTTAAAATTTTTAATGATAAAAAAACACATCATTTGATTTGCACTTATGATATAACAACTCAAAAGCGTCATCTAGGTGCTTAAGTTGAGAAGATCAAAGCTATGGAATAATGATTATAGTAAGAATGGTGAGTGAGTGAACAATGAATAGCAGAGTCTAGAGGCTGTGTAGTATTCTATGGGAAGCGAAATGTAGAGGTACAAGCTAGAAAGTAAAAAGAACATAAGGAATATAGTGGTTCAATAGTTGAAGAGCTTGACTAATCTGTTCGAGTGGAGTCTTTTGCTTCTTGGGGGATTTTTCTATTACTTGGGAAAAAAGATAAAGGTTACAACTGTTGAGATTACTACCCCTCGTGTATGAGGGACTGCCTCTTGTATTAATACCCACAGGTGGGTGGTCCTCATGTCATCATCACATAGTCCTCAAATTTGTTAGGATTTTGTAAGAGGAATATTTGGCCGTTAGAGGTTACATTTCGTAGGTGTGACTTGGTATTCTAGAACATGCTAACGTGGAGTCGTGACCTATGTCCGAGCTTGGATACAATGTGATCTTCCATATCTGTGAAAGGTCATATTGCTTGGGATAACCTCTTTTTCTTTTAGACAACTTGTGAATAAGGGAGCTCGATCTATACTCTTGACCTGAGTTAAAAATACTGAACTTCCTCATGAGATGATATGGACGACCTATTCAACATTGGTTGAGGTCGTACGTGGACGACTTGAACACCTTTGCTTGAGGTTAGATGTGCAACTGGAGGTCGGGGGTCAAATCTTGTTATTGAACCATGTCGTAGATGAGATATCGAGATATCCTTCCACTTAATTGTGGTATTATTTTTTGGTATCATCAATTGCCGCCTAGTCCTGAGCACGACTTGCTTGTCTTGGGCGTAGATTGGGACTAAGCTTTTATACTTCTGAGGTGTTGCTTCTTTTTAGAATGGTGTCTTAGTCAATTGAAAGGACGTGATAGGAAAGTTTTATTAGGATTATGGCATCATACAGGCGTGGGGCATAAGGGGCGCCTCATTTTTTAGATTGTGCTTCTTATATCAAGCCAAGTGGAGAGGCGTACAGGAGCATTTAATGTGCACGATGAGAGAGAACTATTAAAATTTCCTTATTTAAACCCTTTCACAAATACAAATTCTCATTTGAGCAAAACTTCTTCAAAATCCTAAGTGTTTTTATCCATTTTCTTAGCAACCCCTGGTGTGTTCTTATGAGATTTGAAAGAAATGGAGCGAAGGTTTAGGTGACTCAAGAGGTTTTGAGCTCAGGTTCCTTATTATCTGATGCTCGTCTCGTTGGTGTCTAGGTTCTTTGTCTTCTACTTATCATCTTCATCTTCTAGGTACATTTTCTTCCTCCCTTAAGATTTTTTGCATTAATCCTAGATCATTTTGATCCTTGGTTGTGGTCACAGGGCCTTCATTTCTCAGTGCTCCATTTTTGTTACTTTAGGGGCTAAGGTAGGTCTTTAGCAACTCTTTCCCACTTTTTGGACCTATTTTCCATAGCCAAGGTTTTTGTGCTTGGTTGTTTGTGTCTAGATCCTCGCTTCATTAAGGACTACTTCCTGAGTATCTCTTAGGTTGATTTTAGGTTGGGTTGCCTCAAACCTCTGACGTTAAACATGTCTAGATCCTCTTCTACTACTTGGTCTTCCATCTCTACTATGTTTAGGGGTGGAAACGAGGATCCTAAGGTCTAGTCTTCCCTCAACAAGGGGTGATAGAGCTGGAGGAGGATAAGGAGCCTTTGTTTATGGCAAGTTATAAGCAAACCACTTCTAAATAGGACGCTCCTCTTTTGGATCCTCATCTCCTTCTAGAGAATTCACTTGAGGAGGGAACCTCCAGCTTGGGTAAGAGAAAAAGGTCCCCTAAGAGAAGGGTTCTCAGATCTACCTGAGCTGTTTCACCAAGCGAGGTTAGTATCTTAGGCAGATTTGGAGATCTAAAGAGGTTAGACACGACTTTGATCTAGAGCGCAGACTTTTGTCTTTGGTTAGTCATTAAATATTTCTTGAGGGCATTATGGTTTACCCTACTTCAAATGTAGAGCGTTTTAACGTGTACTTATCTGGACAGACCTACTTCTTTGTCTCGACCTTTGATTCCGGTCTTAGGTTTCCTATATTCATACCTTTCTCAAAGCCATTCTCCGATTTTTTAACATCTACCCTTCAAGAATGTTTCCCAATTTCTGTGGAACCTTGGTTGGTCTGTTAATTTTTTGGAGTTAGAATGACCTGGGTCTAGTTCCTCCACTATTTACATGTCAAATGCTCCCCTACAGATGGCTTTTTCTACATCTCCAAATACGTTAACGCCAAGGCCTTAGTGATAGGTGCTCTTTCTTCCCATAAGTCCTAGAAGGAACACTTCTTCTATGTTTCTGGTGATGCTTGGGAGGTGGATCCAAATGATGCTTCTGATGTCCTCCATCTTCCTTAGCTTTGGGGGAAACCCCAAAACTTGGGTGAGTGTCCAAATTCCAACATATCTTCTTCTTTTGCCATGATTTTTCTATGTTGACTTTTCTTTCTTTGAATCAATAGAGTATTGACCTAAGCTGAATCATTCGGAGGAGCTCAGGGTTACGAAGGTTGAGGAGTGCAAAATAAGAAGTTTCAAGGAGCTCGTAACTCTTGAGAAGCTAGCGAGGTATAGTCTAGGCCTTCTAGTTATTGAAAAGCTTCTAGCTCCCTCACCTATTGATCTTTCTGTTGAAGAGGTGGTTGATTAGTAGTTAAAATTAGTATGTCGCTATAAATTTTTAAGACTAATTATACTTTGATGGAGTTTAAATGATGACATTTTAGGTCCTAAAGTGAACAAGGACTCAAAGGCAACAAATTATCAAACTTAAAAACAACACCAACATCTTGGGGGATAAAATGGGAAAAGCTTGAACCAAAGCAAGAACGTTCAAACACCAACTCACGTTCAAACGTTCCCTTGAAATTATTTGAAGACCAAACTGTTGAAATATTGAGACATGGCGTGTTGAAGCTAAAGAAGGAAAACACTGATGTACTTGAGTACCACATTCGAACGTCAATTAACATTCGAATGTTCTGCTGAATTATTGAAGGTAGTGCAAAGTCAAGTTGTACATGGAGTGTGGAAATGACTTTCACAAAAGAACGCATGCCACTTGAGTGGGAATATCAAACCCTATCTGGCGTTCGAACGCCCATCAAGCAAAGACAGAATCAACATTCGAATGTCATACAACGTTCGACCGCCAAACAATGTTCAAACGTTGTCCTCAGACAAGCTACAAAACTGTCTACATGTTGTGTCCACATGCCAGCAATTTCCCCTCATGTTGTGTATATTCCATCAACTGCACAAAACTGCCTCACTTGAGTTACACATGTCAGTTGCTGCTCATAACTTCCTCACACTACGTGCACCTGCCTTCCTTGTGAACCTATAGTACCTAACTTGTCTTACTTGTGTGCCAAGCAATGCCTAACCCATGGCTTGGTATTCCAAGTTCGTAATGCACCACATTTGAAACCTACTAGCTAGCTTTGCTTGCATCCTTGCTTGTACCTAACCTGCTCATGCATGTGCTTCCTTCCTCAGCCATTCATGGGGCTTCCACCGGCAATGGATTCTTCTCAACGTGTCCATGCATGTGCTACCTTGGACTTTAGAATGCATTGACACCCTCTTCGTGGAGCACTCCTTATAATAGCATTAGTGAGCAAAACCCTAGGGACAACAATAGACATACTTTTAGCCAATGAGCCATAACGATGAGAGCCAGGGGCATAATCATTACATGTCACTTGACCTTTTGCCAAACCACTTTGATACCAAATCAAGCACGTGTCCAAGTCCTTACGAAGCCAACTTTGCACTAAGGGTTTGCTTGGCCAAGCAAACCCCAATTTGGCTAAGGCATGGGGCACCTTTGGGCAAGGCACTCGCATGCAATAGTCATGTCAACCAGCTAAGGGGGTTACAAAAAATCACTACCATCACCAATCCCCCCCCCTAGGACTAGTGGTAGCCTTGGAAACCCCTCTTAGGGCCCCAACCATCTACCAACCCTCTGTCTATCAGTACTAAGAATACAAGTTTCAAACCATAATTTCGTGATCATCTTCCATTTTCAAAACCAACCACAGCTTCGGCTTTTTTTATAAAATACGTAGTTTTTCAAAATCTCACATTTCTATTTCCAACATAACACATTTTCAAAATAACTCATACACATGCCTAAAATACAATTTGAACCCTTTCCTAGAAAAATTTCCAAATGAAGTTATTGAGAAGTTATGTACATCAATGATTAACCATCAAAATTGTTATTTAATTATATTTAATGATTGGTTAATTACATATTATTTGTGATTAAATGTGTTAAATTCTTTGATTTTCTAGTTTGATACTTTTTCTAGTTGTTTGGTTTATTTTGCAGGTAAATTGATTGATTTAAAGTAATAATGAATAATGCAAGTGAAGCAATCACTAGAGGAAGAATGATAACTGATAAAGACTGAAGAGTCAAGATTTAGATTGGAAGATTTGAAGATATGACAGCAATTTAATCCTTATAAGAGTCCAGGTTGAAAGAAAACTCATTTAGAGTTGGATTAGGAAAGTATCCTAGAAGATAAGGATTTGACATGTCTTCAATATGTTGGTCATAACTTTTGACTCTGATATCTGATTTACTTAATTTTTGGAGGTTGGAAAGAAGCCTTCAAGGGCTATAAAAGTGTATTTCACGAAAGTTTCGTGATTCAACCTCTAAAAATGCAAAATTTAAGATCAAAATTTGGATAGATTTTGTACCCGTGTCCCAAAGATTTTATGCACGGAATTTAACCTTGCAAGACTTCTTTTTTGGAAAAGAATTCCTTTCAACCTGAACTTAGGATTTATTATTAGTATAAATAGAGGTTCTCATTTAGAGATTAGGATAATTCTTTTTCCCATCTTTTTATTTTTGTTTTAGTTTGTTATGTCCAGCTAGAAGGCTAAGTTAGGGCTAGGGGAGAACCTCTCAACGAAGTACGGTACTGTTATTGATTCTATGCTTAATGATTTATGATGTTTTGTTAATTTAACTTCTGATTTCTTAGCAAAATTTTTATTCTGTAAAAATCCTTGAGTCGTTGTATCATGTACATCGATTGCTTAAATTTTCTTACGAGTAAATAACTGGCTATTCCACGCTTGAGGTATTTATCATTATTTCATAAAATAATATAATTGGATGATTATTTAGGTTCCTGAATAATCTTTTGATTATAACTTTTGATTTTCTTACTTGATTTATTACTCGAATCAACCAACATCTGATTTTTGTCTCAAGTTAAGATTTGAGTCTTTAATCATTATTAAATGGAATTGAGAGGGAGTACCTGATGCTCTAGTATTTTTATTATATTTTTTAAATATCTCCAATCAATATTTTCAACTCAACAATTTTTTTTATACAAATTGTTCTCTCAAATTTTCTTTGGTATTTCTGTGATTGCTTTTTGTTACAATTCCCTGTGGTTTGACCTCAAACTTCCGAGTATTATATTACTTTACGATAACATGCACTTGGGTGATCAATTCTAAAATTGTACCAAGTTTTTGGCGTCGTTGCCAAGGAGATTAAGGACAAGGAGCCATCACATCTTTGAGGTTTTCGGTATTTGCGATTCTTCGAAGATTCGGTAACTTCGTTCTAATTTTTATTTACTTTAGTCATTTTATTGCAATTTATTTTATTTCTGTTTAATTTAGATTTCTATTTTATTTAGTTTGTTTATTTGTTTTATGAGTTCTTGGCATCGTGACTTAAGTGGTTGTTTAATAAGAGAAGATTTAGATATTCTGTTTGGAAATCTATTTGCTTCATCTGATTCAAATCACTCTTCGCACACAATGGCTGCTAATCCTAACAATAATAGGCAAAATGATCTTCCCGAACATGAGGATCATACTGATAGAGTAAGTAATCATGATGAGAACGATGTGAATAATTTAAATGTTAATCAGGGTAGGACTTTGCATGAATATTTGCAGCCTGCACGCCACACTGCACCCTCATTCATTATCTTTCCATTAAATGCCACAAATTTTATTTTCAAACTGACATGATTACATTACTCCCAAAATTTCTTGGCCTAGATTCAGAAAATTCATATCTACACATTAGAGAATTTGAGGATGTATGTGCTACGTTCCATGATCAGATGTCTCAGTGAATACAATCAGATTAAAGTTATTTCCCTTTTGATTAAAGGAAAAAGCTAAGACTTGGTTATATTCACTTAGATCTAGGACCATAGGTACATGGCCTGAGATGCAAAAATAATTCTTAAAAAAAAATTTTCCACACATCGCAGAAACTCTTTAAAAAGGCAAATAATGAATTTTTCTCAAAAAAAGTCTGAAAATTTCTATCAAAGTAAGGAAGATTTAAAGACCTTATTGCATCTTGTCCATATCACGATTATGAGCGCTGGCGCGTGATAAGTTTGCTTTTATGAAGGTGTGAGCCCACAGTTGTGTCAATTTGTTGAGATGATGTGTAATGGTGATTTCATGAATAAGGAACCAGACGAGGCCTTTGACTACTTAGATCAGTTAGCTAAAAGTGCACAATTTTGGGATACCACATCCCAAGAACCTCCTAAAGGTAAAACTGCACAATCTTCATCATCTAGTGGGGGTAAATACCAGCTGAGAGAAGAAGATGACCTAGGAGCTAGAATTGCCACCTTAGCTAGGAGGGTAGAAGTAATGGAGTACAAAAGGATTAATCAAGTTGACACAGTGCCTTTTGAGGAGGTGTGTTGTGTTTATGAGATCCCTGGACATCCTATGAAGGAATGTCCAACATTATCTATTTTAAAAGAAGTCTTACATGATCAAGCAAATGCTGTAAACACTTTTTCAAAACCTTACAATAATCCTTACTCAAACACATACAACCCGTGGTGGAAGAATCATCCCAATTTTAGTTGGAGGAATGAAAATCATGCATCACAACCACCTCAACAAAATTCCTCCAATGTTGCACCCTATGTTCCACCTCCTAAGAGAAATTTTGAGGAGGCATTGTCACAAATGATGTAGAGTTAGGAAAATTTTATCAATCAGACCACACAAGCCATAAATGATATTAGGAGTACACTAAATAAGCAGAAAAATATTAATAGACAAACTACTCAGGCTATTAAAGATATTAGGAGTGCAATCACTAAGTTGACTATTGACTCTTGCCATCAGGAAAAAAGTAAGTTCCCAACAACCACAACCAAATCTGCAAGGTCAATTTCTTGTGAATGAAATTGGCACTTCTGATATTGTGAATGAGCAGGTAAAGTATATCACCACTTTGTAGTGGGAAAGAAATTGATAAAACTATTCCTTTTAAAATTCAAGAGTCTGAGAAGATTTCAAAGCTTACGGAGAATGGTGATAAATTTAATCACTCTGAAATCAATAAGCCTGAGAAGTATGTCATACCTGCACCATTCCCACAGAGATTGATTACTCCTACCAAGCCTTATATGCATAATGATATGTTAGAGATTTTTAAGCAAGTAAAAATCAACATTCCCTTGTTGGATGCCATTAAACAAATACCTTCTTATGCAAAATTTTTGAAAGAATTATGTATTGTTAAAAGGAAATTAAATGTGCAAAAGAAGGCATTTTTGACTGAGCAGGTATCTTTCATCATACAGCATAGGACTCCACCAAAATATAAAGACCCAAGTTGCC